GACACAGACAATACATTGAACCAATCAAAACTCGAAGTAATTACATGTGGCTGACGCAAAGCGCGGGAAAATGCATGCGAGCGCGTCACAATTGGCTTTGGTTTTACTTCTGATTGGATGAAAAGGTGGCGCGAATCTTTTAAGCCAATCGCATCGTGTAGAAAGTGCAAAACCAATTACTTTTCGACACTCAAATGAAAACCGCTCTACCATCGCGATGATAGCATCTGTTATCATTTAACGACTAGCGCCATAAGAACCCTTTACCTAAATAAAGATATCCATAGATATCCATTCAAATCACGTGAGGTCTCAGAAGACTTCACTTTTGCTGTAGCTGGTCTACATCTGCTCATAATTTTAGGCCTAGATTTTTGATATTTTTTTTTTCTTAGTAATGCTTAATTTTCCTTTTCCCACTTTTAAACTTTTCACAATTGTAAATAGGTTTTCTATCGTGGACATAACATTTAGTTTTTAATTTGTAAACAATACGATATAGTTTAAAATTGTAGTTATTACTTATTTTTCTGATACTTAAATAAACATTTATTTGATAATGATAATGATAATGATAATGATAATGATAATAATAATAGTAATAATAATAATAATGGCTTTATCTCGCTCGTTAAAATACATAACAAGCATTACAGTGAGTGAAGTATCATATAAAACCTGATACCTATATTTTTTAATTGCTAAGTTGTATTTAAACCTTGTTCTATTAAAGCAACAATTCTTAAAACGTTCTGTATTAACCCCGTGGTAATTGACTTGCTTGTGATCTTAACCTCTTGGATGAGTATTTGACTTTCGGGAAAAAGGCATGTAATGGATTGTTAACATTGTTCTTAATTTTGGTGAACAACCTGTGGTCACACTTTCCTAAAAGGTCATAGCTATTAATAAACTCAGAAGTATAGCTGTTCCTTCTATTATTAGGAACGGCAAACGGCGAACTCAAAAACCTTTAAAATCGCTCAAAAAACCGCTTTTGAGACAAAAGGATGACAATATACCGCAGGTAAGGTAATTCAACGTTTATTTAACATTAATTTATATACATACTTAGCAATATTTCGCTATAGGTCAAGGAAACGGTAAATCTAGTACATTTACTATAAAATAACAATCGTTTACACGGCAGATTGTGTGGGCTCCCTGTGGCTTCACGAAGTTTTTTTCCCTTAACATGAGATGAAAACTTACAGTCGTTTTGTAATGTGACACCTAAAAGAGTAAGACTGTCATTCTGTTCTATGCTACACAGTGGGGGAAAGTTGGGTGTGGCACTTTTTTTAGCCATAAGGACGCGTCAAGAAGAAAATTCTCCTAGAAGTATGGTCTTGTATTGTTGAAAGAACCTTCACGACCGACAGCGATAATAAGGGTAAAATACCTGACGTTACGTGGTCCGCCTCCTCCACCCGCTATGTCACTCGGGAAGCGGAGGAGGCGGTTAAAATTCAGGCAAATGAGGTAACTTAGGCAAGCTAAAGAGTTTTACCTGCATGGATCTTTCTTATCTATTCTTTAATTTATTCGGGTCATGTAGCAGCTGCATAGCTCGGAAGAGAAATCACTAATGGTGCCTAACCCCTGACCCCCAACAACACTGAAATAATTGAAAGAATAACATGTCATTGTTTTCTGCGACCAATCAGGAGAGACCTTACAAGCAGCACCTACACAACTGTGTTATTCACTTTTCAGCCATTGTTTTTACCACAAATTATTAGAGATAACACAGCAGGTTGTCGTCATTTGATATGTACGCTTATTAAATGGAAAGTGCAATCATGATAATACATAACGTTTGACTGGAATTGCATATATATTTTTTCTATTAAATCTTTAGAGCAGGAACAAGTGGTGAATGGAAATATTTTAGCATCGGCACGGGTAATCCATTAAATCATAAAATAACGCATATAAAACATTTTAACATTCTGTTATTCCTTTCATTAAACTTATAAATTTGAATACTAACGTGTGTAATCGACAATAATTCGTGTAATACGCTGGGATAATTCCGTGTTCTATTTCCATATAAAAAGAAATTAATTAGTCCGGAAATTTCAGTTTACGAGCAACATTCGACTCAGAGTTATAAATTATCTTTAACAGGCAGTCTAAAAGATTTCTTTTGAAAGTCACGTTATTCTTTCCTCCAAAAGCATCTACCGTTTTGCCTTTTTGGATGCTTTAATTTTCTTTTCGAAGCCCACTTTAATTAAAATTCAATTCTGCTGGTCAGATTACAAGGAAGTTAAAAAAAGGTAATATTTTGTTTGACACATGAAGATCTCCAAGTCACAGTGACCACTATCGTTAATAAAATTGAAGCAACTTTTCGATTAGTATATAGAAGACTAACTGTTTACGTTGGACATGCCTTTATTACTATTAAAAAGCTAATATGTCTATTTTCGAAAGCAATTGTTAAGATGCCAAAAGGGGAAAATTGATTTGCTGCGTTATCAGCAGGAAATGAGTGAGAATCCTCTTCATTATGCATTTTCTTAAATTTTACTAAAGCTCTTTTTTGTAAAGGAAAAGAAACGTGGAAAACAACAACCTGCACATACAAAGAGAAAACATATCCTGTTGACGAAATGGGACAACAGTCCTTTACAGATTTCACCATCATTAATTGTGCGCTAAATGTGCCACTGATGATTATATCTATCTCTGCAAACTCGTTGGTTTTGGCGGCCATGTTGACGGCACCTTCACTTCGTTCGCCCTCTACCGTTTTCTTGTGTTGCCTTACCATCTCAGACATTCTTGTTGGATTCATTGCTCAGCCTGTCTACATTGCAACGGAACTTGAACGTGCTCCACTTTTATACGGCCCAATGTTTGCGTTGACTTCGTTAGCTTGCGGTGTTTCAGTCTGTACAATGGCGGTCATAAGCGTAGACAGGTACTTGGCTCTTCATTATCACATGACCTATCCACATATAATGACTGTAAAAAGAGCTCTATATATTACACTAACTGTTTGGCTCACTGGTGCTTTTATTTCGTGCATAAATCTTTGGAATAAAAGTCTCTTTTTCTATGTGACGGCTGTTGGCATAGGTGTTTGCATCACAATTTCCACGATTTCGTATGTTAAAATTTTTCTTATCGTTCGTCAGCATCAACTACAAATTCAAGCCCAACATCAGGCTATACAGAACCTAAGTACTGCAAATCGTACTCTGCATCTCAACAAAAGTGCCATAAACACTTTTATATACTTCATGTTTATGATTCTGTGTTATTCTCCACTATTCGCTTCCACGTTGATTTTAGCTATTTATCAAAAACACGAAACAGAGGCATGGAATTTTGCAGATACGATTTCTTTTATGAACTCGTGTATAAATCCAGTCTTGTACTGTTGGCGTCTTAGGGAGCTACGGACGGCAGTTTTGAAAATACTGAGAAAAATGTCGTGTAGCCAAATCGGTGAATCTTAAACAAGGACAAGTGTGAGTACTTTCTGGCAATTGCACAAAACAGTGAACGTGAAACAGGACTTATTAATACTCAAGTTCTAATAATGCTGCAAAACGTGTTCGACAAAGGTAAGCTAAAAGCTATAATAATAGCTGTGTACCATCCGTTTACTTTCTTTGCGGTTTTATGTGCTGATAAACGAGCTTTCCTGTCCACAAACACACAAACAGTTGATAAAAAATATTACGAAAAGAGCAACCAAGAGATTCATTGATGGCTTTTAAAACGTCACTCAAATCACATCAACAACAAAAACAACCTTGCATCTCTACCATTTGATTAAAGGCAAACACACTTATGTATTTATTAGTAAAGGTAATGTCTGACGTAAAATAACTACAGAGGGAAACTTCATAAACTCAGTACGAGTGGTCTAGTATTTTTAAAAATCAAGAAAATTGTAAATAGAATGCATGTAGTTTATGACGGTGAAGTGAAAGAACAATGTAAATTATAAATAATAAATATCTTTTATCCACTCTCTTCACATGGCACTTTGAGGGGCATAGGTAATTACGAACACGAAAAAGAAAACATTTTGGCTCCACTGCGCTGTACAACATGAATGGAGAACCATTAGGTTTATTTTGGCTGTTCCGGCCGGGTACCGAGAGGTATAACAATACGTTATAATACAACTTTTATTTCATTCAAACATGTGGTAGATAACCTAGAACAGAGCTGAGCGACAGTTTACAAAAAGTGCTGTCAGAACGGAGGCCAGAAAAAACTTGCCGAAAAAAAAAAAATAGGGAAAAAACTCGGCAGGAAATCTGGGTAGGATCCATTGCTCATGCTCTGAAAAGCTCATCCCTACGTGGGCTACACGGCTCGAAGGTCTCTGTGGCCACATTTACTAAGCATGCATTCCAACAAAGCATGGTAAATTCAAAATAATTATTCGAAAACAAAAGAAAATACAACGAACACAAGATGCTACGGAGCGTACACTTCGGCGTCGTGGTTGTGAATTTGATTAATTGTAACCGCCGAGGAAATGAAATATGGTAAGAGTAAGGTGTTAATTTGTAAAATTATGAGATTTGTCAAAATATTCTGAAAAGAGCAACATCCAAGAGGCCTACTTGCCAAAAACTAGCTTTTCGGGGCAAATTGTCTCTGAGATATTAGCTCAGTTATGCTCTGATGATTCCATACAAATCCTTCAAAATTTGACTTGGGTCAATGAAGTTACTGGCGGTGAATAACAAGTCTAACAAAAGAAACAGTGAAATGAAGAATTCTCTATTTTTCTTAAATCAGGGTTCAAAAACAGCATAGCAATCTCACGTACTGAGTCAATTACGCTGAAATGGAATTGGCTAAAACTCAATGTTACGTGTTCGAATGTCTTGAGGATAATTATTCACTGACTATCAGCACGAAGGGATGTTGGATTAAAAACAAGCAAGTTTAATACCGAAGGAACATAGTCTTTACACAGCATCCGCCAACACAAACTTAACTTAAACTTAAGTAAAACTAAACAGCCTCCTCTAATAACAACAAACTCTCAGTTGAACTTAACTCGAATATCTTAACTAGAATAACTTATGGCTTCCGCCAACGTGTAAACATAGAACTTGAACATCGACCTTCGTCACACTTGACTAAACACAGCACTCCAGCTTGTGGGAAAAAACTTAAACCCGGTTCAGACGCCGATCTTTTCATGAACCCAACCTAATTCGAATTAAGGCCGACCCAAATTATTTAGATCGGCTGAATTGATTCAGAAAGGCGAAAAATGCTCATTTCCGTCAAACTGCTTACAAAATACGTTATAGCGGAGCTCTGGCGCGCGAAGCGCGCCTGCGGAGCACCATGGGTAAGTAAATCTACCCATCCCAGAAAATTGGTAATCACGTGACCGTACACCGCCCGCACCACAGGGAAACCAGTGTTTAATCCTCACACTTTCTAGCCAGTTTGGGAGCACAGGAAGACTGATAGTGCACACATATATTGCACATCAATGTTGTGACCAATTGACAGCTGTCAAAACAGGGTTTCCGCTGACCAGTATCACCTGACCGTATCGCGGGCTCAGGTGTCGACCCATCGAGGTCGAATATCTTTTTGAAGTTATCCGCTGACAAGTTACTAGTTTTCAAATGATCGCAGGCTCAAGGTTATTTTTTTTACGGAGCTCTGGCGCGCGAAGCGCGCCTGCGGAGCACCATGGGTAAGTAAATCTACCCATCCCAGAAAATTTGGTAATCACATGACCGTACACCGCCCTCAGCCCGCCCGTCCGTCCGCACCACAGGGCAACCAATGTTCAATCACACTTTCTAGTTTGGGAGCACAGGAAGACTGATATTGCAGACATATTGCACATCAATCTTGTGATCAATTGACAGCTGTCAAAACAGGGTATCCGCTGACCAGTATCACCTGATCGTATCGCGGGCTCAGGTGTCGACCCATCGAGGTCGAGTATCTTTTTGAAGTTATCCGCTGACAAGTTACTAGTTTTTAAATGATTGCAGGCTCAAGTTTAATTTTTCAATTCATATGAATTATGCTGTGTTTTATATGTGCCGCACGATTAAAATTTTGATTTCAAACTGACCTCGGAAGCTAAGAATTAAGCCAGTTTTTATAGGCAGGGAGGACATGCTAGTTGCTTTTGACTTTTCTCACCAAGGTCACGCGTTGGTCACGCTCTACGTCCAATTTTTATACTCTGATTGGTCAAAATTTGACAGGTTAGTTCATGCGGAAAATTTATGCAGCGTCTTGAAACTTGTTTACTTTAACAGCTGAAGCTGATAGAGTTTTGTGTCAACTTGTGATGTTTTTAACTGTCTTTTTCCACTGAATGTACAAAGTGAAATTCAGCTGCTATCAAGAGTCTTCTGTTATTCATGGCTAGTTTGTTTATTGGGTTTTTGGTTGAGAAATACGTCGCTTTGGCAAAGTCGGAAATCCGATTCGGATGGCATCGTTTTCGTTTTTCACCTTGCTTGATGCGTAAGACGGTTGAAAAGTCTGAAGCGGTTCTGGCCTTACTTGATAGTTTTCAGTGCATCTCAAAAGGTAAGCCTGAGTAATTATTGTATTTGTTTGTTTTTTATATCTAATTTAATGAAGTCGAGCGTAGTTTACGCGGCTATTTGGTTTATGCACGTTTGTAAGATTTGAGACAATGATCTGACCGAGAGTGACCGAGTATCAGGTTTGATTATCAGCTTATGGAACTTTAAAAAGCCTTTAGACATTTTCTCACCGCAAATAGAAAGAAAACGTTCCAAAGAATATTTGGTTACAATTCTGGCTGTAAAAGAAAGCTTTGAGCGATTTTCTTGCCTCGAGTTCGTCTTTGAAAAAAGCAAACACCGGGAAGCCGGCTTAAAACGTAAACAAGGATTTTCAGAGACACTTTACATGTGTAATACTTGTCTTCGTGAATGAAAATTGTTGTCTCTGTATATGTTTCACCGAATTATTTTCCCTTTCTTTATTGATTGTAAGTAGTCTCTTTTGCAATTTTAATCGCTGTGCCGTTTGTTTTCAGTCGCTCATGAACATCGCTTGCAAGAGTAGTCAAAATGCCGCGCGTATCAAACGCTTTTGAAGATTACAGATCTTTATAATAAATTCTTTATTGTGTTGAAGCGTATAACTATATTAATCTTAATTTAAACAGTCGACTTGTCAAAAGTGAGAACTGGCTAGCCGTATAGGTGATTTTGGAAATTTTTTTGACGATTTCGCTAAAAGCCCACACGTGCTTTGATCGTCCTGAATATTGAATGAGTGCAATTTGTATTGCAAAATTGTGAAACACTGCATTCTGTCCGAGGTCTGTATGATGAAAACGGCGCAGGTGTTTTCCAGGCCTAATCTACTGTGATCAAGAGCCATTATGGCTCTTAAATGTGATCGAAGATGATTGCTATTTTTTGGGTGTACATATAAAGGCTATCAACTCGATGTAAGATGAAGTTCACTCTTAGCTTGGACTGTTTGCAAATTATTTTTCTCGAAAATCACGTAGTCTTTCCCTCAAAAGTCACATGAATGTGCTCTAAAGTTAACTGATTTGTGGAATACAAGTTTATTGTTTGATTTGAATTATAAATTCGAGTTAATAGGAGCTTCGCTTTTAGCCCTGGCTAAATCTATATATTAATAATTTATGCATTAGGTCCGGTACATGAATAGTTCGGCGTCTGAATTAAAGCCGTTTCAAAGTCGCTCCAAAGGCGAAATTCTCGGCCAGGCTAGGCGAAAACTGAACGGCTGAGCCGTTCCAAGTTGAAAATGGCGTTCCTAATTGATTCAGACGCCGAAGTTTTTATTGTACTTAATTACTTCGGCGGAGCGCGAGTTTTAACAATATTGGGCTCGCAAAGTCTTTAGGTTTTCGGTTTTATTCTGCTGTTTGACGAAGTGAGAGCCGAATTAGTTCGAGATATCTCGAGATCACTTCGATTTCTTTGATTTATTCTTTAACTTTTTCGAGGAAGAAAGAATTATTATTTGGGCGTGGCCCAAATAGAGTAATGGCAACGGATGTTTGACGCAAATGTGCAATAAGCTCCTGTAGCACGGCACTTTATCGCACTTTTACGATCTCAAAAGTTAATCTGAATCTTCAGTATTTTTGCCTCATCGAAATTTGGAATTCTGAAGTCCAGGGATGAAATCTATCAAAAATATTTGGAATATCAACGTCGGGTTTTAGTCACAATAAGATCACAAGCAACGAACCTTGAAACACAGAAACTCACAAAACGGATCGAAATCCACCAATCACAAAACACAAACAATGACCTTTTGAGCCCGTTGAAGTAAACTTTCGTTTTCTAAGAGGTCCGCTACGATGATTGGCGTCTGACATTTTTTTGGCGAGAGGATCGAAATGCACCAATAATAGAAAGACAATTTTTAATGGTATGTTTCCTAAGAGGTCATCTGATTTTCCTGCTTTCTTTATTTTATGTCCATTTTCTGTTCCTTATCTTGTGATTGGTCGATTTTGTTAGGTCGAGTGGATAATCCAATGACGGACGATTTGGATAACGTTTGATCGGAAGTTTTTCGAAGCACCAGGCAGTAAGAAGCAGTTTGGAGAACATTTGACCTTTGGCCGCGTCGTTTCGACGAACGTGTAAATATATTGTTCAATTATGTTATCCCGGGTTAAACTTACAAATGCACACACTGTTCGCGGTAGGCCCCCACTAGAAATTAACACTGAGTGTTTTCGGAATGGGCTGGTCCGCGAACTTTACGAAAAACAAAGGAAATTATCAAGACACTCAATGACATCGATGACTAATGGGCCCCATAGACGCAATGACAAGTTGGAATATCAGGACTGTACGTGTAAAATGGATAAGAGTTTGAACAGAGGAATGTTTAACAAGTTTGAGAGTCGCAAGATTTGTGTAGCTGGTTATCAGTGTGACAATAGTGATTTTCATTTTTGCATTGCGGAACACAACGAGTTGCCTGTGTTAAAAATCTGTTCCGATGAAGGAAGAGACGATTGTCAACAATTGAAACCAAAAGGGACTGACGCTTCTTTTGGAACTACTGTGGTAAGTGCAACAATTCTTTTTATTATTTCAATGTTGTTTAGCAGGGTGACGGTTAATGTTCTTGTTTTTGTATTGCGTGTTGTGTTTTTTCATCTAATTGTGTATATTTTGACGCGGTACATGTACGATGCTGTGCGTCTGGACTTTGCACTATCAGCAAGTTTTGTTAGAGTGTTTTGATGGCAGCGAGGTGACGTCAAGAGAAGGTAATGAGCTTGTTGTACAGAAGGAAAATTGTGTTGTGGAGGAAATAAAAGAAGTTGAATTGAGATCTCGTCGTGGGAAATTTATTTATAACAGAACTTACAATTCCATTGGTTTAAATCAGATTAGTCATTTCTCTCAACGCTGTCACGCACCTAGCAGAGTACCGATGAATAAATTATAACCTTTGTTTCAGAAAACACGGATAGTGACACTTTTTTTATGGAAGAGTATTCGGAAAAATACACCATTTTGGTCTGAAGTTCATCGTTACGTTAAAAATAGAAAAGGTTTACTCTAAACAGGTACAAAAGTACCTGTAATAGTGTTAGGTTTTTACTTAAAGGGCAATTCCAAAACTAGTTCGTAAACGAGGGAAAGTGTATCTGTCCTCTAAGCATCAAAGCACAGGTGATGTAGGTGGAATGAGATATGCAAATAGGCTTTTCAGCAAGAATTTGCCCCTCTGTACATGCATGCAATTATCCAATTTATGGTGCTTACAACAGTTTGAATCACCGGGTTAATTTTGGCCAATTTAAGCTTTGTACTGATATCGAGAGGAATCCAAGACCTTCAGTTTATGTAGATGCTACAAAAACAATTCATGCTCCATACTGTCAAGGAAACGTTACAGTATTTGGGGAAAATGCTGGACAACAATGTGTCGCAATGAGTCTGTGCGCTTTAATATACAGTAAGATAACAAAGATTACTTCAGTTGATGATATGACTCAAATAATGATTGTCGGTATTCAATTATAATCTAGTCTGTCACTGCTTGCAAGACAATCTCTGTTAATCTTAACAGAATTGCCAGGAATGGTTACAGTGTTTGAGCAATTTTTCCACCTTGAATACAGTGACAGTTATACTTGTAACATCCATGGTGATCCCAGAATTGAGGGGTATCACTACTGTTTAATTCCACTCACAGGGTACAGCATTTGAAACACTCTCGGCACTGAACTACAACTCATTCATTTTAACGGTGGCAATTATTGGTGTTGGTATCTACAAAATTGAGGTTGGGGGATATAATGTATTTGATTCTCATGCTAGAGATATGTATCATAACAGTCAAAGGGAAGGGACGTGTATTGTTGGAAACAGCATCCATGCATAAATTAGTACAATATTTTCAGACTCTACATAGGAATGTGGATATGAACTTAAAGGTGTACATAATGCCACCTTTGAACGTCATCTTTTCTCAAGCAATGTTGAACATTGTAGTATATCAAATGTTAATAGTTACCAATATTCCTGTAAACAGTGCTGCCCTATAGCAGTTTATGGCTCCAAGCATGTCTACATTGAAGATGTGCATATTTTCAAACATTGTCATGAAATGACACGATTTTTGTTGCGGATTGGGACATACTGTATAAGCTGTGTGGTGCAGCAAACAAGTGTAGTAAAGGATTTATCTTCTCTGGTAAGATATGATGACAGTTGTTTAGCTGCAATAAGGCATGTTCAAGGTATCGTATAAGTTGAGGGATTAGCCGATTCCGCTACTGCGACCCAAGGTAGTTCGGGATATGAAAAATAGTTATGAAATGATGCACTAGTTTCGGAAAGCAATTTTACGACGCAACACTCAACAACGACAAAACGCCTTTGTGCAGCATTTTGTAACTTTAAATTCATCATAAAACAGTTCGAAAGGAGCGCTCACTCGTGAAATGTTTTCAACACTCGAAGAGAAATTTCCTGTCACTGCGCGGCCAAGTAATATCCTCTATTTATTCCTCGAGTAAATTAAAGACTAAACTCGAAGTGATCTCAAGATATCACGAAGTAGTCCGGTCTCATTTCGCGAAATAGCCGAAACAAGCCGAAAAGTCACGAACTTGCGCGCCCAATCTTGTCGCGAAAAGAGTGCATAATCTCATAGCTATTTTTCATACCCCGAACTACCTTAGGTCGAAGCAGCGCAATCGGCTAATCTCTCAACTTAGAGTCACCTCTGATCTAACGGGTCACACAGGTGAGTCGGTTCAAACCTCGGGAAGGCCAAAATAATAATTCTTTGCTCCTCGAATAAATTAAAGAATAAATCAAAGAAATCGAAGTGATCTCTAAATATCTCGAACTAATTCGGCTCTCACATCGTCAAAAGGCAGAATGAAAACGAAAACCTACAGACTTTGCGAGCCCAATCTTGTCCCAAAAATGTCAACTTTGATATATACATTCCTGAGCGTCGCGAATCCTTTACTTCGCGCTCCGACGAAGTAACTAGCTAAAGCCCTCGCGAAACTCAATCTGTCACTTAATAAGTAAGTAAATAAATAAATAAAAAAATAGTTAATAATGTGAGCTAAACGAGGAGTCGGCCTAGAATGCTTTCACATGTGATAAGCATTCCTTTTGTAGCACTCCATTCTACCTATACTGCACTTCAAATGCAGCCGCCCCAGTCCTCACTGCTCCCATGCCGCACAAATGTTTCATTTCCGGCTAATTCGTATCCACTAAAACGCCGGAATACCATAATTATTTTCATAAGCAAAACACGTAACATGCACTGCCCGGGCATTACGCTTTTGAAAGTCATGTTAGTCTTTCGACCAGAAGCATTTACAGTTTTGCCTTTTTGATGATTTAATTTTCTTTCGAAGCCGATTTTAATTAAAATTCAATTCTGCAGGTCAGGTGTCAGGGAAATTAAAAAAGGTATATATTTTGTTAGAATGTTTACGTTGAACATGCCATTTATTACTATTAAAAAGCTAAGATGTTTATTTTTGAAACCAATTGTTAAGATGCCACAAGAAAAAAATTGATTTGCTGGGTTATCAGCAGGAAATGGATGAAAGCCCTCTTCATCATGCATTTTATTAAATTTTCCTAACACTCTATTTTGTAAAGGAAAAGAAACGTAGAAAATAACAACTAGCACATACAAAGAGAAAACATATCCTGTTCACGAAATGGGACTACAACGGTCGTTTTCAGATATCACCATCATTAATTGTGCGCTAAATCTGCCACTGATAGTTATATCTATCTTTGCAAACTCGTTGGTTTTGGCGGCCATGTGGACGGCACCTTCACTTCGTTCGCCCTCTACCGTTTTCTTGTGTTGCCTTACCGTCTCAGACATTCTTGTTGGATTCATTGCTCAGCCTGTTTACATTGCCACAGAACTTACACGTGCTCCATTCTTATACGGCGCAATGTTTGGGCTGACTACGTTAGCTTGCGGTGTTTCAGTCTGTACAATGGCGGTCATAAGCGTAGACAGGTACTTAGCTCTTCATTACCACATGACCTATCCACATATAATGACTGCAAAAAGAGCTCTATATATTACACTAACTGTTTGGCTCACTGGTGCTTTTGCTTCGTGTATCAAACTTTGGAATACAAGTTTCTTCTTCTATGTGACGGCTGTTGGCATAGGTGTTTGCATCACAATTTCGACGTTTTCATATGTTAAAATTTTTCTGATCGTTCGTCAGCATCAACTACAAATTCAAGCCCAACATCAGGCTGTACAGAACCTAAAAACTGCAAACCGTACTCTGCATCTAAATAAAAGTGCCATAAACACTTTTATATACTTCGTGTTTATGATTCTGTGTTATTCTCCACTATTCGCTTCCATGTTGATTTTAGCTATTTATCAAAAACACGAAACAGAGGCATGGAATTTTGCAGATACGATTTCTTTTATGAACTCGTGTATAAATCCAGTCTTGTACTGTTGGCGTCTTAAGGAGCTACGGACGGCAGTTTTGAAAGTACTGAGAAAAATGTCGTGTAGCCATATTGGTAAATCTTAATCTACGACAAATGTGAGTACTTTCCGGCAATTGCACAAAACAGTGAACGTGAAACAGGACTTATCAATATTCAAGTTCTAATAATGCTACAAAACGTGTTCGACAAAGGTAAGCTAAAAGCTAGTAATAATAGCTGTGTACCATCCGTTTACTTTCTTTGCGGTTTTATGTGCTGATAAACGAGCTTTCCTGTCCACAAACACACAAACAGTTGATAAAAAATATTACGAAAAGAGCAACCAAGAGATTCATTGATGGCTTTTAAAACGTCACTCAAATCACATCAACAACAAAAACAACCTTGCATCTCTACCATTTGATTAAAAGCAAACACACTTATGTATTTATTAGTAAAGGTAATGCCTGACGTAAAATAACTACAGAGGGAAACTTCATAAACTCAAAACGAGTGGTCTAGTATTTTTAAAAATCAAGAAAATTGTAAATAGACTACATGTAGTTTATGACGGTGAAGTGAAAGAACAATGTAAATTATAAATAATAAATATCTTTTTATCCACTCTCTTCACATGGCACTTTGAGGGGCATAGGTAATTACGAACACGAAAAAGAAAACATTTTGGCCCCACTGCGCTGTACAACATGAATGGAGAACCATTAGGTTTATTTTGGCTGTTCCGGCCGGGTACCGAGATGTATAACAGTACGTTATAATACAACTTTTATTTCATTCAAACATGTGGTAGATAACCTAGAACAGAGCTGAGCGACAGTTTACAACAAGTACTGTCAGAACTGAGGCCAGAAAAAACTTGCCGAAAAAAAAAAAAGGGAAAAAACTCGGCAGGAAATCAGGGTAGGATCCATTGCTCATGCTCTGAAAAGCCCATCCCTACGAAGGCCAAAAGGCTCGAAGGTCTCTGTGGCCACATTTACTAAGCATGCATTCCAACAAAGCACGGTAAATTCAAAATAATTATTCGAAAACAAACGAAAACACAACGAAAACTACAACCAGTTGCAAAAATGATGAAACACTCCCACGGAAAAACGACCTTTCTTGCTTCAAATCGCTCCTGGTCACAGGTCTGTAAAATATAATACTGACCTCCCTCCTCCCTCCAATTCAAAGTTGTTCCTCCACGTTTTGAGTATGGTCTTGTATTGCTAGCAACTTTGATAAGAGGTGGAGGGGGGATCACAAGCACAAGATCATGGACAGGCCATTTATGCCAAAATACGGTAAAGTGTGTTAAGTACTTTTGCAACTGGTTGTAGCTAATTCCCTCGCGAAACTCAATCTATCACTTAATAAATAAAAAAATAAAAAAAATAAAAATTAAATAAATAAACATATAAGTAATTAATAATGTGAGCTAAACGAGGAGTCGGCCTAAAATGCTTTCCCAAGTGATAAGCATCCCTTTTATAGCACTCCAGTCTACCCATACTGCACTTCAACTGAAGCCGCCCCAGTCTGCACTGCTCCCGTGCCGCAGAAATGTTTCGTTTGCGGCTAATTCGTATCCACTCAAACGCCGGAAATACCATAATTATTTTCCTGAGCAAAACAAGTAACATGCACTGCCCGGGCATGACGCTTTTGAATACATTTATCTGAAGTTCACTGCACGACCACAAGGTAAAATTTGAAAAGAAAAAAACAAAACCCAAAAAACAAACAAACAAACGAACAAAAAAACACGAACTTTTTATAAAGAACTTGACGAATTCATCTTTTTTTTTTTGAACTTGGAAAATGTCCCAAAGAATTCAACTCCAGCAAACTCCCCTATACTTGAAAACTAAATTGAGTGAGGCTAAATATACGTGTAGTTGTATTTTCACTGCCGTTGTCGTCGTTGTTGCTTAACCTCTCTAAGGGTGGATTTCCACTGGTGCGTAATTTTTACTTGCGTACACGTGTAAAATTTACGTGCGTAAATAAAACAAAGGCAATGTACGAAAGATTACGCACGACCTTTTTACATACATTGCCTCTATTATATTTACTTACTTCTTACTTTCGATCGACGCCTACAAGACAGCAGGTGCTCGAACGTTCTCCAGCCCTGTATCCCTCAGCAGTGTGTTAATATATGAAGGACATTCTCTTTTTGCCATCCCATGTGCAGAAAGCAGCCATGTTACAATGTATCAGCTGCTGCGCCGGGGAGCTCTCATCACGAAAAACATGTCCAGAAAGAGAAACTCTTCCATTTTGAATGGTAGAGGTTAGCTTTTCTCGACTACCATAAAGCTCACTATTTTTAACCTTGTCCTTCCAAAATATGTTTTTCACTATTCGCAGCATTTTTGTTTAAGTTCCACGCAGCCTCTTTTTTCCTTTGGCTTTTGCGAAAGACCAAGAGGTACTCTCGTAAAGGAGAATTGTCTCCGAAGGTTGCTCTTAATAACCTCTCATGCGACAGTGGAAATCCACCTTAATTTACAACACTAACTGGGAGAAACTTAGTCAGACTGCTTAGGATTCAGCTTACAATTAACAAAGCAATGAATTGTGAATGCCCGCTTATGTGAATTTGAGATAGGATTACCACATTAAATCCCCTTTTCCATACGAACAGTGTTTGGGTTCTAAGTGCTGGTCCTTCCGGGATTTGAAGTTGACTGACCGGCGCTTATCCCTTTGAGCTATACGGGCGGTGGGTAGCTCAGTAGGAGGCCACAAAATATTGCTAACAAGATAAATCCACCAGCAAGCAGCTGTGGTATCAAAACAGCTTTGTTGCCCATAAAAAAAGTATATTCACTGACCGTCATTTGCTTCTATGAAAACAAATTTGATAGGCCTGTTTCCAAGCATGCCCTCTGTCATGAGAGTCCTTTCCAGTGGCTCTATTGCCTGGTACCCAACACCAAAAAATCGCACAGTAAAATTGACCGCGACATGTGTCATATTCCTAAAAAGATCGCAAAGCAGTCATTTTTAAGTCTGATTTTGACTTCAGGGCGCTTTCCATTTATACAAAATTTTCGGAAACTTCGATGGAAAGGTCCATCAGGTGGAGGATGTGTTCCACCCGATACAAATTTCATTCGCTATCCTCTCTCGCCAAAGTTTAAAATGGCGGCACAGCCTGGGACTGGTGAGTCCTTGCGAAAGAATATGCATTTCCATCGGAATAACAGGACAATCTTTTCAAAATTACTCTAATTCCAGGATATTTCTTAGTGGAACGCCCATTTCATTTGAAATATTTATAGTAGGCAAAAACTCTTGATCTTTTGCCAAGTTAAAGGCTCAGAAAGAGGGCAGGATATATGTTTAAGGGCCCAATATTCGCTTCTGGCCGGGCATTTCAACATAATTCTGTTTAATCTAAAAAAAAAAAAAAAAATCAGTGAACAATTCTTACCAAAATTTAAAGTTGTCCACTTTTGAAATAAAATTTTCACCCATGAGTTTTATCACCTGCAAAAAGACGGTGAGATGGTGTTATTATGCAGTATACTACCAAACGAGAGTTGTGGGTTTGGTACTTTAGGCAAATGATTCGTGGTCCTTAATTAGTGTAGTGGTCAAATATTAATGCCAGTCCAAACGTCTTTTGGGAAGTACCTGAGCGTTAATATGCGCTAGGGTTGTATTGTACGGATCAAAGGGGGAGGATAGGGGGGACGAAAGGGGGTGGGGGTAGGGTGGGGAGTCAGTTTTTCTGCCCATACTAGTGGTCGCATTATTTCTAGTTCTATTCGCCTTAATCCTGCTTTCTGTTTCAAATCAAAGATGACCAGAACACACAGGAATCAGTACTAAGCAGCCAGTCTTTCCAAAAATAGCCCAACAAATGTGAGTTAGAGTTTAAAGAATCTTACCTCTGGCGTAAGATATTATCCTTTTGCAATAAATATGGTCCACATTTAAATTCATACAAACCTCTTTCTCAATCCAGAACGTTCTGTTGCTAAACATTTCCGACCGTGGTTTCGCCAACTCTGAATCAAATATCTCATCAGTCAACTCTAAACTTAGTTCCACACGAAG